ACTAAAAGACAAAACGGACATCATACAGAACCACAGGAAGGCTGGCTGAGTGGAAATCCTACAACTAGAAGGAAAGAGAAAAGCACACTGAGACTCAGAGGAGGTGCAGAAGTAAAGTGCAGAGGTACGGAGGCGTGTGCGGTAAGGGCTGGCAACTGAGGAAGAGGTTGTCTTTTTCAATCGGAAGGGAGACACAAGCCCCGACTCCAGTTCCAGGCGAGTCTCTGGGGACCCAGACTCATACGGGAAGGAACTGGACTGTCTGGCATCGGGTGAAACTTGAGGGCGGCTTTCTCTCAGAGGAGCTTGCAGCAATTACCTCGGGACACTGAGACCCGGGGCCTCTTAGGACAAGACTGAGGATCAGCCATAGCTGTTTGCTCCACCCTGTTGATTCCCTGAGACCCCGCCCCACCCAAGCAGCGGCAGAAGCTTTTGCATATGAATGGGCTGGCCCTTTGAGATCTAAAATTACCTAACAAACTGCAGCTGGGTCAGAGAGACCCAGAACATCCAAAAGAAGGCCCAAGGCCCCACAGCAGCTTGCATTGCTTCACAGCTGGGCCTCATCTGGGCACCTCCAAACCACAAACAAGGAAGAGGAATCTGCAGCTCTCTCCATAGCTCCTGCTGGGTAGCCTCAGGCAGAGGCTAAATTAGCACTTCCTTAGAGATCCAAGAGCCAGTGTACCCAGTGGTCAGAGTGGGACCATCCAGATTGCTGCTCCTCGGATCCATAAAGGACACTCAAAGGGCAGACTCCGTGAGCACCAAAGCCCCACTGAAGCAAGTCTTGCCCCCAAGGGGTGTTTCCAGCACAGTTCTCCCACCGTAGACACAGCTGATTCTCACAGACAACTGGCCTGGAGGTCAATTCCTCCCAGTGATACCAACAACAATCAAGGCTTAACTATAACAAGACTGCGCACACAGCCCACAAAGGGGTGCACCAAGAGTGTCCGCCTCAGGTAATTGGGGAGGCTGAGCCACTGGGCCCTATAGGACACCTAGCACAGAAAGCCACTTTATCAACACAGGGAAGCAGCCAAAATGCAGAGACAAAGAAACAGATCACAAATGACAGAAATGGAGGAAAGCAAACTCCTGGATATAGAGTTCAAAACCACGGTTATAAGGTTTTCCAAGAATTTTCTAGAAACCGCTGATAAATTTAGTAAGATCCTCAATAAGTCTAGTGAGACCCTTGAGGATATGAAAAAGGACCATCTAGAAATTAAGCATACACTGACTGAAATAAAGAATATTATACAGCCGAAACCGGTTTGGCTCAGTGGATGGAGCGTCAGCCTGCGGACTGAGGGGTCCCGGGTTCGATTCCGGTCAAGGGCATGTACCTGGGTTGCGGGCACATCCCCAGTGGGGGATGTGCAGGAGGCGGCTGATCGATGTTTCTCTCTCATCGATGTTTCTGACTCTCTATCTCTCTCCCTTCCTCTCTGTAAAAAATCAATAAAATATATTTAAAAAAAAAAAAAAAAGAATATTATACAGAGATTCAACAGCAGGCTAGAGGATCACAAGAATCAAGTCAAAGATCTGAAGTACGAAGAAGTACAAAACACCCAACCGGAAAAGCAAAATAAAAAAAGATTCCAAAAATATGGAGATAGTGTAAGGAGCCTCTGGGACAACTTCAAGTGTACCAAAATCCGAATTATGGGGGTGCCAAAAGAAGAGAGAGAGAGCAAGATATTGAAAACCTATTTGAAGAAATAATGACAGACAACTTTCCCTACCTGATGAAAGAAATAGACTTACAAGTCCAGGAAGCGAAGAGAACCCCAAACAAAAGGAATCCAAAGAGGACCACACCAAGACACATCATAATTAAAATGCCAAGAGCAAAAGACAAAGAGAGAATCTTAAAAGCAGCAAGAGAAAAACAGTTACCTACAAGGGAATACCCATAAAATTGTCAGCTGATTTCTCAGCATAAACTATGCAGGCCAGAGGGAGTGGCAAGAAATATTCAAAGTGATGAATAGCAAGAACCTGCAACCAAGATTACTTTATCCAGCAAAGCTATCATTCAGAATTGAAGGTCTGATAAAGAGCTTCACAGATAAGAAAAAGCTAAAGGAGTTCACCACCACCAAACCAGTATTATATGAAATGCTGAAAGATAGTCTTTAAGAAGAGGAAGAAGCCGAAACCGGTTTGGCTCAGTGGATAGAGTGTCGGCCTGCGGACTGAAAGGTCCCAGGTTCGATTCCGGTCAAGGGCATGTACCTGGGTTGCGGGCACAACCCCAGTAGGAGATGTGCAGGAGGCAGCTGATCGATGTTTCTCTCTCATCGATGTTTCTAACTCTCTATCTCTCTCCCTTCCTCTCTGTAAAAAATCAATAAAATATATTTTAAAAAAAAAGAAGAGGAAGAAGAAAAAGGTAAAGATACAAACTATGAACAACAAATACACATCTATCAACAAGTAAATCTAAAAATCAAGTGAATAAATAATCTGATGAACAGAATAAACTGGTGAATATAATAGAATCAGGGGCATAGAGAGGGAGTGGACTGACTATTCTGAGGGGGTAAGGGGTGTGGGGGATGCGGGAAGAGAATGGACAAAAATTGTACATCTATGGATGAGGACAGTGGAGGGGGCCGTGGGGTAAGGGCAGAGGGTGGAGTGGGTGGAAGGGAGCTACGGGGGGGGGGGGGGAGGAACAACTGTAATAATCTGAACAATAAAGATTTAAAAAATAAATAAATAAATAGGGAAGCAGGTTGTTTACCACAACTGTAGAAGTGATTTTTTTTCCTGAAGATATGGGTAAACAACTCGATTTAACAGCCTTTGAACGTGGGATACATACATATACCCTGAGTGGCCAGATTATTATGACCACCTGACGTTTGTAGGCAAATTAGCTATACCCTGCATTGTACAGAATATGGAAGCCAAAGGCCTGTTCAACACCTTTGCTGTCTGCAGTTACCAAGATAAAATGTCTCCAATTAGCACAGGAACACAAGGATTGGACAGTCGAGCATTGGAAAAAAGTCATATGGTCTGATGAATCACGTTTCCAGTTGCATCATACAGATGGCAGAGTGAGAATTTGGAGGAAACAGCATGAAAGCATGCACCCCACATGCATGAGTACAACGCTTCAAGCTGGTGGGGGCAGTGTTATGGTTTGGAGCATGTTTTCCTGGCATGATTTGGGCCCTTTAATTTGTGTGGAACATCGTCTGAATAGCACAACATACCCAAGTATCGTTGCTGATCAGGTTCATTCTATCATGTTGATGGCGTATCCCAATGGAGATGGCTTCTTTCAACAAGACAATGAGCCATGCCACGGTGCTTGTATTGTGCAGGGGCGGTTTCAAGAACATGAGGGAGACTTTACCTTGCTTAGGTGGCCTCCACAATCACCAGATCTCTATCCAATTGGGCATTTATGGAATGAAGTTAAAAGAGCCATCAGGCAGCTGGTTCCACAACCATCAAATCTCACAGAACTGGACAGTGCTATTCATCAGGCATGGTGTCAGATTCCTCACATCACCTTTCAACATCTCGTGGAGTCAATGCCAAGAAGAATCACCGCAGTACTGAAGGCAAAAGGTGGCCCGACGAAGTACTGATGTGGTTGTTATTATAATCTGGCCACTCAAATTCAAATATATCCCAGGTTCAAAGGCTGTTAAATCACATTGTTTACCCATATCTTCAGAAAAAAAAAAATCACTTCATGGTAAACAACCTGCTTCCCTATTTATAATGGTCTGGCCCTCTAGCAACTTCAGCATGAAATTATAGCTAATTTGCCTACAAACGTCAGGTGGTCATAATAATCTGGCCACTGTGTGTGTGTGTGTGTGTGTGTGTGTGTGTGTGTGTGCGCGCGTGTGTATTTATTGTTGTTTTTAAACTACAAATTGTAGCTTCAAGGTGAACACATGGAGGAACAAGGAAGGTGGCATACCCAAAGTAGGCAGGGGTGCGTACAGGAGGCAACCAATTGATGTGTCTCTCCCACATTGATGTTTCTCTCTCTTTTTCTCTCTCCCTCCCTCCTTCCCATCACTCTCTGAAAAGTAATGGGAAAAATATCCTCAGGTGAGGATTAACACACAAAAAAGACAAGAGCCTGGCCAGAGTGGCTCAGTGGTTGAGCATTGACCCATGAACCAGGTCATGGTTCGATTCCTGGTCAGGGAACGTGTCCAGGTTGTGGGCTCGATCCCCAGTAGGAGAGTGCAGGAGGCAGCCGATCAATGATTATCTCTCATCATTGATGTTTCTATCTCTCACTCTCCCTTCCTCTCTGAAACCAATAAAATATATATTTAAAAAAAGAAATTAAAAAAAAAGAAAGCTTCTTGTCTTGCCAAAGTATTTTCCACTAAAATATAGCATTCTCTATAGAAATTTCTTTTCTAACACGAAAGTGGAATTAAAAGATGAGGAAAATACCCACACAAAATAAAAGAGATGATGACTAACGTGCCCTTTCTTCTGTGGAAGGACTGAAAAGAAGACTGAAAAATATCCACAAATGCCCTGCAGAGACTTGCACTATAGGGAACATGACAATTCTAGAGTTTTCCTTACAGTTTTCTTTCCTAAGAAGTTCTTGTAGATCTTAAGTTGGAGGTCTCAGTTTAAGAAAAAGAGGCCATGCCCTGGCCAGTTTGGCTCAGTGAACTGAAGGGCCCTGGGTTCGATTCCGGTCAAGGGCACGTATCTCGGTTGCAGGCTTGATCCCAGCCCCGGGTGGGGCACGTGTGGGAGGCCAATTGATTTGTCTCTCACATCCATGTTTCTCTCTCTCGTCTCTCCCCATCCCTTCCACTCTCTCTAAAAATCAATGGAAAAAATATCCTTGGGTGAAGATTAACAAAAATAAAATAAATAAACATGAAATTAAATCTATAGTTTAAAAGAAAAAGAGGCCATCAGTCACCAACACATGGACCCTTATATACCTGTCAGTTACAGTGGCCTATTCCCTCCACACCCACCTCATCATCACTGTCCGACGTCTCAGAGTCTGAGGAGGCTGCAGGCTGACTCACAGGCGGCTCCTTCTCCTCAGAGTCACTGCGCTTCCGCTTTGCCAGGGACAAGAGCTCCTAATAGGGCAGAAGTAATCACATGAGTCTTATTCAACAGAAAAGAAATATCCAAGAATAACAAAATGCCCACCCTCCCTACACCTCTTCTACCTCTTTGTGCTTTTAATTGAAGGACATCATCATGGGAACTTTTATCATATGAACACACTGCTAGTACTCCTAAGTGCTAAAATAAATGTTTTCAAAATTGTCCTCTACCTTTTAATGGCAAAATATATGTCTGAAATGCAAAAGTGAATATAAAACTGACCTGAAGTCTACTTCCAAATTGTTACCATTTTCTTTATAAGCTACAAAAGTACAGATTCTCAGGTACTTATTTAAGAACCATGATTACAAAGATAATCCGCTCACTGTTCTTAATGGTATAGCTAACCGATACTCTGAACATCTTCTTACTGTAATTCATAGTAAAATTGGCATTTGTGGGCTGATTTGAATAAGCTGACAAACTACAAGTTTCTGAGGTCGTTTTTTAAAATTTTGAATGCATAAGCAAAAAAAAAAAAAGATTTTTTCCAGTGATAAATCCAGGGTCTGACAACAAGCCACCAATTGCCTGGCCACTACATCAGAACTCTAATTTGATAACCCCAATATTCTTATTCATTACCTCTGCCTTCTCCTCATGATTTAAGAGAGACTAGTAGGGGAAGGATGTGTCACTTAGTAAGGCTACAACCAGGTTTTGCTCTCTCACAGGGTTCCCCTCTGCTGCTACTTCTCCCCAACTCAGCCCAGTCACTTAAAAATGCAACAAAAGAATACTTGCTTTAGTTTTTGTTCTCTGCTAATATCAATACCAGCCCACAATTACACTGTACTTACTAGATGCCTGGTACTTTTCTAACCATCTAACATTTAATCTTCACAACAACCTTAAGGTAACTATCATTATCATTCCCATTTTTTCTTAACAACTATTTATTTATCTATTTGTTTATTTACTTATAATGTAATCATCCCCATTTTTTTAAATATATTTTATTGATTTTTCACAGAGAGGAAGGGAGAGAGATAGAGAGCTAGAAACATCGATGAGAGAGAAACATCGACCAGCTACCTCCTGCACATCTCCCACTGGGGATGTGCCCGCAACCCAGGTACATGCCCCTGACCGGAATCGAACCTGGGACCCCTCAGTCCGCAGGCCGACGCTCTATCCACTGAGCCAAACCGGTTTCGGCATCATCCCCATTTAAAGATAAAAAGACTAAAGAGCAGGAGAGGTTAAGTAATTTACCCAAGGTAACACAGCTAGTACATGATAGAGTCAGAATTCAAACCAGGGTAGATAGAATCCTAGCTCCTAATTCAGGCATGGTTTACTAGTCTAAAACCCTTTTCTCCCTTTTGCTAAAAAGAGAAAACTACAACTAATAAATACTAGTAGCATCATTTTTTGATGATAATGGTGTGATACAATTACAGGTCAAGTGCCAAGATAGATTTAAAAATAATAGACTGCTACAAAGTATGTTTTCTTCTTCCAGTTTCTTTCTATTTTAGGAGTATACCCTCCTTGGCCAGAATGAGAAAATGACCTTCTCAGATTAACAGCTGACATGCTCTCTTTCATACGGAGTCATGAAATGTTACTCTTCTCATTTCATTAGAGGGAGCTAGCACACCAACTTCCTGAAAACGCTGAAGCTCATAAGAACACTCTACTTTTTCATACCAAAACGATTAACTCCTATTGACCAAATGCAAATCACAGCAATATTTGTGTTCATGGTATTTTAAAAAATTGAGGTGTAACTGACTTACAGTACATTTTATCCTTTCTTAAGTACAGTTCTGAGTTTGACAAATAGTTTAAACACTCCCACAATTAAGGCATATGATAGTACCATCATCATCCCAAATATTGGTATTCTTCATATACTTCCCCCCAAACCCCAGCAACCACAAAACTATTGTCTGTCCCTAAGTCTGCCTATCACAGAATATCATATAAATGAAATCATACAATATGTAGCCTTTGAATTGGGGTTATCAATTAGGGTTCTGATGTAGTGGCCAGCACATTGGTGGCTTGTTGTCAGACCCTGGATTAACCATTGAAAAGAAGCCATTGGGCTTCTTAGCATAATGCACTTGAGATTCATTCATGTTGCAGCATATATCAGTAGTTTATTCCTTTTTATTGTTAAGTAGTATTCTATTAAATGGATGTAGCACACTTTGTTTATCCATTTACCAGTTGAAAAACATTTGGGTTGTTTCCATTGTAGAGCAATTATATGTTCATGTACAGGTTTTTGTGTAAACATTAAGTTTTAATTTCACTTGGGTAAATACCTATGAATGGAATTGTTGAGTTGTACAGTATTTTGTGTCTGGTCTTAACTATTATCTTTCTTCCCATATTACCGTAATGCAAATTTATAAACTTTTACAGAGATTTCTGATAAGTAATCTCTTTCCTGACCTTTGAGGTTCACGAATATACCAGAATTCTTTTTTTTTTAATATATTTTATTGATTTTTTACAGAGAGGAAGGGAGAGGGATAGAGAGTCAGAAACATCGATGAGAAACATCGACCAGTTGCCTCCTGCACACCTCCTACTGGGGATGTGCCCGCAACCCATGTACATGACCTTGACCGGAATCGAACCTGGGACCTTTCAGTCCGCAGGCCAACGCTCTATACACTGAGCCAAACCGGTTTCGGCTATACCAGAATTCTTTATAACAGGTTGATACCAACTCATTATAACAGGGATTTGGATACACTATCAATCAAATTCTTCTCTGAAACATTAACTATTACTGTCTACTGCATGTAATTAAAAGTTACCATAACTTAAAGTGTTAAGATGTTAGTGCTGTCTTTCTGTTAAAGACGTTCCACTCCATACTAAAAACCTAACAAATGGCTCTCCTTCATCAACAAACAACTGCATCTGATAGGTATAGTCTCTCCTCGTATACAACATTAAATACTATATTAACAATAATATGGAGACAGCAAAGTCCTTCTTAACAGTGTGGAAGATACCCTTTCCACAAGTTGAGAATTGTACAGAAAGCTACTGGGGGAACTCATGGCAAGGCTACTTATTTATTTATTTAATATATTTTTATTGATTGCAGAGAGGAAGGGAGAGGGAGAGAGAGAGATATAAACATCAGTGATGAGAGATAATCATTGACCGGCTGCTTCCCGCACACCCCACACTGGTGATTGAGCCCGCAACCCAGGGTTGTGCCCTGAGCAGGAATAGAACCATGACATTTTGGTTCATAGGTCAATACCCAACCACTGAGCCACACCGGTTGGGCGAGGCTACTCTTTTTAGTTAAGTCCTTTATGTTATACTGAGGGCTCATAGTACAGTTGAACAGACAAGTGTGCAATGGAAAGGTCTTTCCAATAATGCATACATGAAGAGACCATCAGATTTGCTACCGTAGGGTTGACTTATCCAATGTCTGTGCTCAAAAAAAGCCCAAACCAATGTAAAACTGATTCTTGCACAGGGGTAGGTCCATCTGAAGTTCTCTCTTGCCTGCCTGCTTCACTGTGCCACACTGATTGAGACAATGTTTCTGTGTGTCCAGTGGTTCTCTCTCACCATCATCCCTGTATTTCATCTTCACCCAGTAAAGTGTCCTTATTTATTTATCTCGGCATTCCTCTAGGGCAGTGGTTCTCAACCTTCTGGCCCTTTAAATACAGTTCCTCATGGTGTGACCCAACCATAAAATTATTTTCGTTGCTACTTCATAACTGTAATGTTGCTACTGTTATGAATCATAATGTAAATATCTGATATGCAGGATGGTCTTAGGCAACCCCTGTGAAAGGGTCGTTCGACAGCCAAAGGGGTCACAACCCACAGGTTGAGAACCGCTGTTCTAGGGGAATGGCAGTATAGAATGCCAGCATGGTATATTAAATTTAAGCTGAACTTAAAGTTCTGCTTAAAGTAATGACAATGCTCAACATACTATCGGTATGGCTGTGTAGGATGCCATACCTGGCTTCTAGGGCAGTTTCATTGCTTAAAAGCCATATTTTACATTAAACTAGACTGCCAAAACTGAGACCCTATAATTAAGCTAGTCTGATTGAACTAAGGTAATGTTTATTAAAACAATGCTATTTTGGTTAAGATTAGAATTCTAATCCATCAATATGTGAAGACTTAAACCTTAAGATTTAATTCCCCCACCTATTATTCACAAATAGTGTGCTTTCTGTGATGTCATATCAGGATCAAACTATAGTAGAGCAACCTAGCTCCCTCTTACTTACTTAAAGAAAATTAAATCTCATCTCTTTAACCAAACCTCCCATGGCCACATATAAGTGGGACACATATTTTATACCCTAGAAAAAGAGAATAGAAATTCATATGGACAAAGCTGAGGTTTTCATAGCCAATTAACATTCGGGCTCTTTTTTTACTTATTCATTCCACAAATCTAACTAACGTAAGTAATTACTAGAGTGACCAAACATCCTTGTGTGAGCAGGACTGTCCTGGTTTTAACACTAGAAGCCGTGCATTCTGGGAAACTCCTCAGTTCCAGGCAAACCAGTATCTACCAGTATCTCCTATCTACGAAGCACTGGATAGACAGTCATGAAGAAAAGATACAAAGGCCCAGATGGAGTGGCTCCGTGATTGAGCCTCGACCTATGAATCAGGAGGTCATGGTTTGATTCCTGGTCAGGGCACATGCCTGGGTTATGGGCTCGATCCCCAGTGGGGGGGTGGAGGGTGCAGAAGGCAGCTGATCAATGATTCTCTCTCATCATTGATGTTTCTCTCTCCCTTCTTCTTTATCTCATGGAATTTAAGTAGTGGGGACATACAATAAACAAGTAAAGAAACAATTATATCTAGTGATAGTATTAAGAAGGAAGTGAATTGAGTGAATGGGAAACTTATCTGTGATAGGATGACTGGGGAGGTTTCTCTGAGACAATGGCATTTAGGCTGAGGCTTTGGGAGAGGAAGGAGGGATGCAGTGTTTTGGACA